TCCCTTTTTGAGCTTTACTAGTGACTGACAATATGCCACAGCAATGTTTATCTCAGTCTATTTGCACTGATCTAAAATTAAATGTTTTATAACCCATCTGGTATTTGTTTACATTGATGACATACTTCATTATTATATAATTTGGTTTATTGGATCAGATGCAATTCGTAAAAGACGACAGCCTTTCCCAAAATGCCCTCCATTTATTGAGTAAACTGCAACATTAATTATTGACTAGATACATTTGCTTGCTGATAATGAAGTTAAAGAAAGATAACTCTTTTAATGTCAAGAATAAATAGGTCTAATAAAACACCACAGAGAAGGTGTGCTCTAGGAATATATGATCAAAATTTAAATTTTTTAATTTAACAGAAGCTTCATTTTACACAGGCAGTTGTTCAGTTAATTGCATCATGAGATGAGCAAGACCTGCTAGCAGGTAACCAGTGTGCAAAGCTAGGAACTTATAATTCCATACAGTTTATATTTCCAAGTCATCAATACGGAGAGTTGTGGTATAACCCATAACTGCATATTGTACTTCTGTCCCCTCTGACCTTTGCAGGACTACCTTTTCACCCTGATAACTCCTCAGTACAAGAACCAGGTGCAATTCTGTAAAGATGTATCACCTCGTACTGGCTCTGTAATTGGACCTGAAATTGATTATAAACAATAAAATTAATGGAGTGCCTGTCTAATTAATGATGTCTTAAATTCTATTCATGGAACAGCAAACAGAGAAGGTACGGTACTACGAACAAACGCCACAATGAAGAAGAGGTGACAACCCTCACGGACTAGTCCTGTCTGCGGAACAGCATCCACCGTATTAAAAATGTTTGGGAAATTCAGTAACAAGGACAACATCTGCATACAGACAAGATGAAGTCATCCATCATTACTGCTTCTCATAGTCAGTTGCTTTCTAGAATATCACACAGCTGATGAGATTTGCTTGTTAGTCAACAGCGTAGTTCTAAAACTATAATTTTAGATTTCTGTTGATAACTTCCACACTAAAAATACTGTATTACTGGAATCTGTTTCTTGATACACAGTCCTGTCTGTCCCCAATTTAAACTGTCGTTTCTGTAGAGTTTACATCTGGATGTTACAGGATCCCTTTGATTTGACATTCCACTGCATCCACGAGTTACTTGCCTGCTGTCAGGCATTATAGTTTCCTCACGTTTCCTTTCAGATGTCTCATGTTTGCACTTTTGTACATCCAGCTTTTATTGGCAACTAAGATACTTTACTGATTTTATATGGTACCCTATTGCCTGGAATCCATTTCCCTCACTTAAGTTCCATTGTAACTTTCACCTTATCCTTACCCATCCCACATACAGCTATCCTGTTGCTAGTAATCTTCCCAGATTTCTCTGCCTGGTGTCAGTG